CCTTTACCCCCAGGAGAGTACTTTTGCTTGCCCCTAATACAGGAACAAGTAGACTCCACGGTGTGGACGGATAGATACACTGTGGGATGGGCAAGAACAGCTGCCCCAGTCCTAATTCATCTCAAGGACCCCTCCTGGTTTCCCCATCAAAAACAATATTCTTTAAAGCCAGAAGCTAAGGAGGGGCTAATTCCCATAATCAAAGACTTAAAGAGACAGGGACTGCTAATAGAATGCTCCAGCCCATATAATACTCCTATTCTCAGCGTCAGGAAGGGACCTAACAAATGGAGGCTAGTCCAGGCTCTCCGCCTGATCAGCAAAGCAGTAGTGCCTCTCCTGTAGTTCCAAATCCCTATATGCTTTTAGCCCAAATACTTCAGGGTACTACTTACTACTCTGTCCTGGATTTAAAAGATGCCTTCTTTTGCATTCCCTTACACCCTAAAAGTCAATCTATCTTTGCCTTTGAGGACCCCACAAGAAAATATGGACAGGTCACTTGGGGACTGTCCTTCCCCAGGGATTCAGAGACAGCCCCCACCTCTTTGGGTTAGCTCTAACCCAAGACATGGCAGATTGGCAATATCCACAAGCTACTCTGCTACAATATGTAGATGACCTCCTGCTCTGTGGACCAAATGAGCCTGTCATTTCACGAGCCACTGAGTCCTTACTAAACTTCTTAGCAGATAGAGGTTATAAGATCTCTAAAGAAAAAGCCCAATTGTGTCAGTCTAGGGTTACATATTTAGGTCTTGTCCTGGAGAAAGAAATGAGGTCTCTAGGAGAAGACAGAATCCATCCAATCCTGATGTTTCCTCTACCTAAAACTCTAAAACAATTGAGGTCCTTTTTGGGGGTCACAGGATACTGTAGAATTTGGATCCTGGGATATGCAGACCTATCCAGGCCTTTATACTACCCAGCCCTTTATTGAGTGGGATGACAAGTCAGAAAATGCATTCCACAGGTTAAAGAAGGCTCTTATGACAGCTCCTGCCCTGGGTCTCCCAATATAAGACAAGTTTCAATTACATGTCTATGAAAAGGGAGGACTGGCCTTGGGTGTGGTGACTCAGCTCCGGGGCATCATTCCCCAGCCAGTAGGTTACTTAAGCAAAAAGTTAGATCAGGTAACCAAGGGATGGCCAGGATGCCTCAGAGCAATGGCCGCAGTAAGCCTTCTAGTGCTTGAAGCTCAGAAACTTATCCTAAACCGCCCCCTAACGGTTTATACCCCACACGACCTAGGGGGAATTTTAAACTCAAAAGGAGATCTTTGGCCATCTGACAGCTGTCTACTTAAATATCAGGCCCAGCTTCTGGGAGGGACAAAAATAAATTTAAGGACCTGTCAAAGCCTAAATCCTGCATCCCTTCGATCAGAGGCAGAGGGAAATCCTGAGCACTCATGTGAGGAGGTACTTATGGAAAATTATGCTGCCCGACCTGACTTAACTGACCAGCCCTTAAAAAACTCAGATCTAGAATTATACACTGATGGCAGTTCCTTTGTCAGGAATGGTGTCAGACATGCAGGGTTTGCAATTGTGACAAAATTTGGCACCCTCAAATCAGGTCCTCTTCCTCCTAATACAAGTGCTCAATTGGCAGAATTAGTGGCCCTAACAGAAGCCCTAAGACTGTCAAAAGAACAGAGAGTCAACATCTATACAGATTCTAAGTATGACTTCCTGATCCTGCATGCTCATGCAGCCATTTGGAAGAAAAGAGAAATGCTAACTACAACAGGAACAGCTTCCCATAGGGATAAAAGAGAGGTTACTTTAATAGTTTTAGGGAGAACAGCATTAGTTGCAGCCCTTGACGGAATCAGTTATGGGGTGATTGCCAATCATGTAACTGCAAAAAACCTAACCAAAGTGGTAGAGGACACCTCAGACCAGGTAGGCCTTGCCATTAAGGACATGCAAAGGTCCTTGTTGTCCCTTGCCTATATGGTAATGGACCACCGCCTGGCCCTAGATTTTCTTTTGGCCAAGCAAGGCGGGGAGTGTGTGTGGGGGGGTATGTGCAATTGCCAATACCTCCTGTTGCACATATGTAAACACTTCATGCATTGTAGACGAACGTGCAGATTACATTCTCAAACAGGCTAAATGGCTCCGGGAGCAATCTCTTGAAACTCAGGTTTCTGCTCAGGTATGGGAACAAATAAAATCCTGGCTCCCCTCCAGGACTTGGTTCCTACCCTTTCTGGGGCCTATAGTTGCCCTTATCCTCTTGCTTGTGTTTGGGCCTTGCATTTTAAACTTACTTGTCAAGTTTGTTTCTTCTTGCCTAGAATCCGTTAAACTACAAATGCCTCTGGTAGAGATGAAAACGACCTACTACCGCGGTCCCCTTGACAACCCCTCTTGTGGTCAGCCCTGACGCTGCGGACCCCTTCATCGCCCCGTCAGCAGGAAGCAGTTACTGAACAGACTTTGTTGTCCCTATCCCTAACAGCAGTTGGGGTAACCATTGAGAGGGGGGAATGAAGGACTGAAGGACAGACCTCAGGAGGTCAAGGAGACACTTCTCCTCCATAGGAAATGCCTGTTTGCATCTGAAAGGCATCTCCTGCCATCAGGCAATGCAAATAGGCTATAAAACCCCACTCCCCACCCTGACCCAGGGGATCACTGGTTTCCGGGTTCCCCTGCATTCCCCAATATGCAGTCTTTCTCTTTTCTTTTCTACAACTGAATTCTCTACAAATAAAATCTTTCCGACCTCTGCTGTTGGAGTCTGCCTGTGCTTTCATTCTCAGAGCAGGCTCAAGAACCCTGAGCACCTGAAATTCCTGCGCGTGTCATCCGTGCATCACCAGGAGGCTTAAAAGAGTATTGAGTTCCAGGCCGGTTTGGGCAAAAAGCAAGAACTTAAACACAGCACAGGGGCTGGAAGTGTGCTCCAGCAGTAGAGCAAGCAGAAAGCCCTGAGTTTATACCCCATTCTTTGGGGAGAGGGAGGGAAGGAGGGGGCAGGGAGGAGAGAGGTGAGGAGTGAGAGGAGAGAGATGGGAGAGAGAGAGATATGAAAATATCTGCCACTGTAAAAAGTCTTAAGACCTAGGAGGGAAAACAGAATGCTGGGAAATCAGAATTAAAACCAAAAATCCTTTCCCCAAAGGGAGTAGAGGAAGTCCTTATGTAACTACAGAGCACCACTACTTGGCACAAGTAGTTTATACTAGCCCATTTGATAAGACCACTTATGTTACCTAATTAGCTTTATCTAGACCACTTATGTTACCTAATTAGCTTTATCTAGAGGAAGCAGATAAAAATCCAGGTTCAAACAGGCCCCTATAATCCCACAGAAATGCAGGGATACTCTCTCTCCCTTGGTGTTTACATTTCAAAGGTACAGTGGTTCTTATGTCCTTCAGGAAGATAGCCCCTGGACATTAAACTGACAAAAATTCTATTTGGTTTCTAAAAGCACACATTTTGGAGGACAGAAAATACTGGAATTTACAAGTTTCCTAAAGTAAATGTTTTGACCAAAGGGAGAGGAAGAAGGGAGGCAAAACCTCTTCCCTCATTCTCAAGTTTTACTTTCATTTTTGTTCTTACTGTGCACCTATAGAATATCCCTGAAACATAAGCTTAAAATACTGGTCAGAAGAAAATTTCACATAATCATAAAATTACATACCACCTAACTTTCTTTCAAAAGGTGTGAGTTTATAATTCACTTCAGTGTGAAGTAGGCACTTTTGCATTTCCCCTTCCTCATTCCATCTTTTACACAGACAATTTAGGCTCTTTAGCTTAAGTAAATAAGTTTTTCTAATGCCAATTGCCTGGGTGAAATGGCTGTCCCCAGGGACGCCCCAACCAGGTCCCCAGACCCATTCACAACCTCCCCATGCTGAGCCTGGCTCTTCTCACCTGCAAGATGCCTGTGTTCACTTGCTTACACCCTTTTCAATTGATGAGAAACAACTCAGCATTCAATATGAATGGTCCATTAAAACTCTATTCTTTTACTTTCAACTATTTGAGATATCTGAAAATAGGAAGGAGCGTTTTTTTTTGTTTGTTTGTTTTGTTTTGGCCAGGGTCTCCCTCCCTCAGTCGGTAGCCTCCAATTCAACTCTGTAGTCCTCAAACTCAATATCCTCCTGTCTTATTCACCTGCCACGAGCTGAGATTATAAGCATGTACCACCACGCCAGTGTTGATGAGTATGCTCTCAAATTTATATTATGTTGTATTTTACAATTAGAGTCCTTATTTTTTCCCAGTTATAAAAGTATGAATAAACTCCAGCTAAGAATGTAAGCCCTTCCATCTTATTAATCCCTTAAGACAATCATGGTGGCTCAAGAAAAGCATGTAATAAAGGTGTAACATCAGCTTTAAAATTTTTGAGTTGTAATTCACCAATTTAACCTTTTCAAGAAACTCTAGACAATTTTAAAAACTGAACATAGTTGAGACTTCTACAGGTGGCACTGCTCCTTTAATACGCACATTATCTCATTAATTTTATTTTATTTTTAAATTTCCTGTGGAATTGAACAACCAATGTGAGTTAATCTTAAAAGAACACTTTGTTCCTCCTAGTACAAATTTTCCTGTGTAGTTCAATGAAAGAAGTGGTTAAAAATTTTACCACCTTCATTGTTATGTGTAATGCTACTCTCCAGTATGAATTCTTTGTTATAAAGTTCTTGCCACATTTATTACATTTATATTCTTTTATAACTACAAAGGTGTAAATCCTTTTTTATAAAGCTGACTATATTTGCTACATTTGTAAGGCTGCTCTCTGGAAGGATTTGGTGATGTTCCACAAGGTTTGACTTTTGGGTAAGTCTGGCCACATATATTGCATTTGTGTGATTTCCTGTAAAGACTGTATTTGTGATACCTAATGAGGGCTGAGCCAGGGTGCAAAGCTTTGTCACACACATTAGTATTATATGGTTTCTCTTCACAACAGACTGTTGTCATTGAATAAGGCTTCAAAATTTAAGTTTTGTCTCAAACACTGTACTTAACATTTTCCACTATTACAAACTCTCTGATTCCAAGGCTTGAGCTTTGGATGAAAGCATTACCACATATATTTACAATGTTTCTCTTCATTATGTATTTTCTGATGGCTAGTAAGGTTTGCAAGTTGGGTAAAAGCTTTGCCGCACTTAGTACATTGGTAAGGTTTCTCTCCAGCATGGATTCTCTTGTGTTGAGTGAGATTTGAACATTCAGCAAAGGCTTTGTCACATTCAGTACATTTATAAGGTTTCTCTCCAGTATAATTCTCTCATGATGCCAACGGTGTGAATGCTGGTTAAAAGCCTTACCACACAGTGCATTTGAAAGGTTTCTCTCCAGTATGCATTCGCTGATGTCTTCCACCACGTGGATTTTGATTATAGGACTTGCCACAAACATTACATTTATATGGTTTCTCTTCTGTGTATACTCTCTGATGTCTAGTGAGTTTCAAAGGCTGCTTAAAGGCTTTGCCACATTCACCACATTTGTAAGGTCTCTGTCTAGAATGAATTCTGTGATGATTGGTGAGGTTTGAACTTGTGCTAAAAGCTTTCCCACAGGTGTCACACTTGTATGATTTTTCTCTAGTGTGTGCTGGCCCATATTGTGTAGGTAAAAAAAGGTATTTAGAAATCTCCTTGTATTTGTAACAAAGGTTACTTTTGACATCAGGAGGAATTCTTTGAAGTGGTGAAACTGAGGAGCCACTGTTGACAGATGTCGCAACTTGGTTACATATGTAAGTTTTCTCCTCAGTTTGCAATCTCTATTCAGCCAGTTGTGCCTGTAAACTTAGTCCAATTCTGTTTTCAAAACACTTCAAATACTTCTTTCCAGAATAACTTGCATGATTTTTCAGTTTTAATACATTCCTTATAAATGGTTCATCATGTATGACATTCTGGTATGCACTCTCTGTTACAGAAACATTCTGCTTTAGAGGAAAATTAACTGAGGATTCATGGTGCTGTCCATCCTTTCCATGAATGAGACTTCTGTTACAGGTCAAAGGCACTCCTTTGTAATCTTTTATGTCATGTCCCCACTGGCAGTCAACTTCATGAGTATTTTCCCAGATATCCTTGAGGTCAAAGCCTTTGCTGCCATGATTGTCAGTTTTTTCTGTTAATATGAGATGGAATAATTCCTCCTTATTAATGTCGTCATTTGGTGAAAATCCATCACCTGAAGACTCAGCCAAAATACCTGGAAAATATAACAACTACAGGTTTCCCATTTCGTTATGGTTGAAAGATCAATATTTTATGTGGAAACATGTGACAAGGAAAATACTATTCTAATGAATAAGATTCATAACTTTCTCAGCTGTGGTCTTCAACTGTTCAGAAACACAAAGCGAGAAGTCCTTGATAAAGAAAGTAACACAGTATTAAATCATGTAATTCAAATTACTTCAAGAAAAGCACCATTGCAAATATCCTAGCTATATTATGTAAATTCATGTCAAGAAGGGATAATTTTCCACAGTCACAAAGAACAAAGGCATAGCTATATTGGTATATCATGTTTACAGAGAAATGACTAACAATATATAACTTAGTACCTAATTGTTATAAAGAGGCTAAAGCACAGTCCAAACTTACCTAATGAAAAAATGTCAAAAATTAGCAATAATTACAAAAAAAAATAAGAATTTAATAAAATACTATTGTAAGTATGTATTACATTGTAAATCTGAGTACTTGTAAATATGCATGGTAGATATATGAATAATATATATTAAAAGTCATCAGGTATAAATCATAAAAACTCAGCTAAACAATTTTGTAACTTATGAATATCTAGCAAAGAAGTTAGTAAGTAACCACAGTTATACAAAATTATTGTCTACAGAATTCTAAAAACTTCTTGGTGAAGAACTAACAAACTTACTCTGCAGAAGTAGGTGGCAACAGGAAAAGTAAGATATAGGTTAGAATCTCTGAATTGTGAAATAGCAGGTTCAGGTAAATAAACATTATTATAAAGATTAAGAATTAGGGAAGGCAATCTGAAACCATAACTCCATGCCTGCAGTTGTAGGACAGCTTGAGTAAGGCAAAACCCTAACTATGAAGTGTCATTTAGTTATTTGGCTCTATGGCCAAAAATTATATGTAATACAGACTGTGTACTTTGAAATTTTATTACCTAGGGTGAGAGAAAACATTGAAGTGAAAAAAATTACCAAAAGAGAACATGTAAGATGTAATGTAGGTAAAGGCAAATCTCCTAACGAAAGAAAGGTGACATATTAGCTAATGGTATCTTTTTCAGTTCTTATTAGATGCTGTACAATATTCTATGCCCTATAAACTATAAACACATTCACTTATTTGAATGCTCTTGAGGTAACTTGTCACGGTCTTTCAGATGAAAACAAAACTTGTCCAAGAAGTTTACATAGGCATCCCTAATGCATACAGGCAGCACACTGAGAGCCAGGACTTGAACCTGGGTATGCCATGTTCATAACCACTAGGCACTACTGCCCACTCAGGCAGTATAGGTCATGACAGGTCACAGCAAATGTCAGGAGCTCAAGAAATGTTTCAAGCAAGATGCAGGATCTCAGCAGTGTCAGAGTGATGGTGCTGCTGCTCCCAGGTAACAGCATGTAGTTAGCATGTCCTACACACTGATACACAGTGACTCAATTATGTTGCAGCCCTCAGCATGCTGTCCTGTATGAATGTTTGCCTTACACAGTGAGTGCAGAGAAGGGAAGGACAGATCTTATGGAAATGGGGTTTCAGAGGAGTTCAAAATTAATATGATAGGCACTACCAGTTTCATCTATTTAGAGCAACAGAAATCTGAAGAAAGGCAGAAGTGGGATTAGAAGAGTGAAGATGAAGGGCAAGGAGTAGAAGAGCAAAGCTTGAGCTTGCAAATCTATGGGGCTATGTGCTAAGGCAGCCAAAATCCTGAACTCGGGGGAGAAAAAAAGAGGCACAGACTTCATGTGGATACAATGAAACCCTACCCAGGGTTTCATGAGTACAGGTGAGGGAGACCATGAGTACAGGTGCTTGTGGGGAGAGGCTGCATGGTAGAAACAAAATTAGCTGATGGTTCTACCTAGGTATAAGCCCTTTAGGGTATATGATTACATTTAGTAAAAAATAACCCATGAACTAAATTATGCATTTTCAAAATAGAATTTTACCAATATTGGTGTATCATTTTTTAGTAAAAATTTTGTTTTTTAGATAAAAGTAACACTGTCCTTTTAAAATTATTTTAAATCTTCTCCTTGATTCTTTTTTTTTTCAGTGGGACTGGGATTTGAATTCAGGGCTTTCTGCTTGAAAGCAGGCACTCTACTGCTTGAGCCACACTTCCAGTGCACTTTGCTCTTATTTTTTTTTTTTTTTGGAGATGGTGTCCCATGAACTATTTGCCTGTCTGGCCTCAAATTGTGATCCTCCTAATCTCAGCCTTCCAAGTAGCTAGGGTGACAGGCATGAGCCACTGATATCTGGCTCTCCTTGAATCTTTTAATATCAAAATCCCAACATATGAGAGAAGGAAATGAGGAATGCTCTCATTATATGTATTAGTAATTATATGAATTATTATTATTAAGCAATGAACTTTAATGTATACTTACCTAAAAGTTATGAATTCTTATTTCAAAAGGACCAGCAGAAAAAAGGGCCATTCAGAGCTGTTATTAAATGGCTCGGAGCACTGAATGGCATGTACGAAGGCTTGCTCATACAGTCAAGTGTAGAAACAATTTTTTTGCAGTGCCAAGGAACCCATAGAAAGTGTTTCCAGGATACATTCCCAGATTTTTCTGCAAAGAACATTTTGGAGGGGTCTTGAAAACTGTTTTACAAATTGGTCAAATGACTGCTCCCTGAATACTTAGGAATGATTTTAAATATGTAGACATCTAGCTTTCTCCTGAGAACTTCTGAACCAAAAGAATAGGGGTAAAACACAGTACGAGATATATTTTGAAAGTTTTTCATAAGGTTTTGTAACTACCCATGTTCTGGAATTGTGAAGAGTCAGGCTTGAAATATGCAGAATTTCTGAAAAAAGAGTAAGTTTAAATTCTATATGCCAAATTATAAAGCCTTTCCATTCTGAATCAAATTAATTTCAATCTTTCCATGAACAGGGTTTGGAAGTGGCCTCTAGTTCCACCTACTCTGGAGAATGAGGCCACCTTGAACCTAGGAGTTTGGGGTCAGCCAAGACAATACTCTTTGAAAAAATAAAAATAAGTAAAACCAGGCAGGCATGGTGGCTTGTGCCTGTAGCCCTAGCTAGTAGAGCAGCACAGATCGGGAGGACTGGGGTTTGAAGTCAGCCTAGGCTTAACTAATAAAAGCTGGACATGGTAGTGTGCACATGTTATCCCAGCTACCTGGGAAGCATAAATAGGAGGATTGTGGTCCAGGTATAAATACAAATACTAAAAGCTAGCGGCGTGACTCAAGTCATAGGGTACTTTTCTGACAAGCCGAAGACCCTGAGTTTAAACCTCAATACCAACAAAAACAACTGATTCAACAAACAGACAAACAAACAAGACAAGCAAGCAAGTGAACTTAAAACAAAACCAAAAAACCCAGGCACGGTGGTGCACTCCTATAATTCCAGCACTGAGGCAGGAATATCATAAGGAACTTGAGGTTAGCCTGGGCTACACAGTGAGACACTGTCTCAAAGGAAGAAAAAACATGGATTGGAAATTCACACATGCCAAATCCAGGGCTCCCAAGAGATTCCCAAGGGAAAATACAAAGGCAGCTCCCAATTTCTGGAGGGAAGTTCTCCTCACCCAGGGAGACCAAGTTCCTGTCGTTCTCCAACATCCCATCTCTGTACAAATTCTGCTGAGCTTGGTGCAGGCATTTCCACTCCTCTTGAGATAATTCTATGGCCTCATCCTTGAATGTAAACAATCCCTGAAATAAGGATAATATTTACCAAGTGTGTGTGAAAGATTTTTCATTTCACACAAAATGAAACGGAATTAATTTGTCTGGATTGAGTATGCTGACTGGCTCATGTGATTAATCTGAGCACTTACATATTTCTGATTTTATTTTTTTAAACAATGAGGTAACATTCATTTTAAAATGTACAATTCAAAGGCTATGGATGAAGCTCAGTGGGAGACCACTTGCCTGCCATGCATGAGGCCCTGGGATCCAGCCCTAGTACCACGAAAACAAAGTAACACAGCACACAATTTCATGGCATTCAGCACATTCACAGTACTGCTCAAACGTTACCCCTGTCCACTTCAGGAACATTTTTATCAGCTCCAAAGGAAACTCTAGCCATTCAGCAGCCACTCCCTATTCCCCCTTCCTCATAGGAAGGAGGACAAATACTGATTTGCCTTTGGGCTCTATGGATTTATCTCTTCTGGACATTTCATATAAAAAGAATTGTACAAAATACATGACCTTTTGTTTCTGGCTTTCACTTAGAATGTTGGAGATTCATTAATGATACACTATCAGTACTATATATTTTTTATGGCCAAGTAACATTCCATTGCATGGCAATACTAAATTCTACTTATTGTTTACCCATTGATGACAATTTGGATTGTTCCCTGGTTGTGTGGCTACTGTATACAGTGCTATGGACATTTGTGCACAGTATTTGTTTGAATAACAGTAGGGTATAGATCTACTCAGAAGAATTGCTGTGTCATCTGGTTTAACTTTTTGAGCATCTGCCAAACTGTTTTCCAGAGTGGCTACTTCACTTTACCCATGATGCATCAGGATTCTAATTTCTGTGTCTTTGCCAAAATTTTTTCTTTTTTGTTTTAATATAGCCATCCTACCTAATGGATGTGAAGTGATACCTCATTGTGGTTTTGATTTTGCATTTTCTTCATGACTGATTTTGATAAATAACTTCTCACATGCTTGTTGGATAGTTGTATATGTTCCATGGAAAACGGTCTGTTTAAGTTTTCTGAACATTTTAAATTAGGCTATTGATATCCAAGTTGTTGTGTTGTAGGTTTTCTCCATATATTGGATACTAGGCTGTATCAGATGTGTGCTTGGCAAATATTTTCTCCTATCTGGTAATCTGTGGTTTCACTTTTGTGACTGTGTCCTACAACACACAGAAGTTTGTAATCTTATGAAGACCCACTGAGGAAATTCCCATCCTCATCCTTTCAGTATTTTTATTATGAAAGAGAATTGGGGTTTGCTAAA